CAAATCTCACAGTTCCCTGCTGGAACCTCGGGTGGTGAATATGACTTTGGTCACTAAGACCTCGGAGAACATTCTCTAGGGAGTTGGCAATAAGGTATACCTGCTCTTGCAGACTACAGTGGGAATCACGGGGGAATTTCTGTCTAACAGACATTGAGTCCTAACAGTATACACAGGGAGTATTTGCCTGAAGATTCTTCTTGAGAAGTTGTATGACATTTCAGGCAATGCCGTATGAAAATTTCATCTCCGTAAAATGATAGATGGAGAAATTTCCTCTCATTTTGAAAATCCTTCTCAGGCACCTTGGCTCCATTTCACTACTCATAATCTAAAGGGAGGCACAGTTCAGTAGTCAACTAATTTTTGATAGAAAGACGTCTCATGGAGACAAACTACACAAGCAAACACATGAAACTCCCTTCCTTTCTTAGACCTCAGTGTTTCCTACTGCTTCCATGTGAGTCCCTGTCTGTCTCCAGGGGCCAAGGGGAATACAACCTTCCTCATGCATTTCAATAGTCTCTTTGGAGATGATCTGCATAAATTTTTAATTGTTCTTTTATCACTAGCAACTGAGCAATAAATGTTTTCACATACAATCTCAGTTCCCCAAGCCTGTGTCACATCAAATTTGCAGGTGAAAAGATAATTGCAGTTCTGAGGGAACGTGAATCACAGGATCACAAGCCCTTATCTAGGGGTCTGGCTGCCTTCCTCCCTGTGACAGGGACAGCTTGCCGCGTCCAAAACCAAGAACCCACTATCCGGGAATGGGAGGACGTCAAGTGAGTAGTTTCTGTTTGAGCCTGAGGGCAAGAATCTGCAAGAAACAGGTGCTTTGGGGAGTCTGGGTTGGTGACCATACAGGAAAAAGAAAGTGTTCTGACTCAAAGTAATCCAGGGCCAAAGCAACATGGGAAGGAGGAATAATTTTAAAAATTCAATGGAGCTATTAAAGAGAGATTAGCTACTACACCAGATGTCAGTTCCCAATGCCTCTAAAGTATCTTAGTACAATTCTTTTTGAAAAATATTTATTTGGCTGTGCCGGATCTTACTTGTGGAATATGGGATCTAGTTCCCTGACGAGGGATCAAACCTAGGCCTCCAAACCCAACTTCTCCCACCCGCCACCGACATTGGGAATGAGGAGTCTTAGTCACTGGGCCACCAAGGAAGTCACAGTGTAATTTTTGTGACAGTGATTGTTACTGTTGAATCCAAGTCATATGAAACCTGATGTTTAATGTAACTAGTGACTGGAATTGCATAGATAGATCTGAAATCATGGAGTCCGTTACATAAATCATGCATTTTTAGGGTTACTATATGTATGCCAATAGCAGCTCCATGATTAATAAAAATAAATTAAAACTATGGGTTTCATCTGTCCTTAATAGAAACAGTGTATAGAGTTGACAATTTTCTGCTTAGTCGATCAGTCGTGTCGGACTCTTTGCAACACCATGTATTGTAGCCCGCCAGGCTCCCCTGTCCATGGAAGTCTCCAGTCAAGAATACTGTCTCTTTCTTCATTCAGTTTAGCTCAGACGCTCAGTCATGTCCAACTCATTACAACCCCATGGACTGCAGCATGCCAGGCCTCCCTGTCCATCACGAACTTCCAAAGTCTATTCAAACTCATGCCCATTGAGTTGTGATGCCATCCAAGCATCTCATCCTCTGTTGTGCCATCTCCTCCCACCCTCAATCTTTCCCAGCATCTGGATCTTCTCAATTAAATCAGTTCTTTCCATCATGGGGTAAAAGTATTGGAGTTTCAACTTCATCATCAGTCCTTCCAATATTTAGGGCTGATTTCCTTTAGGATGGACTGGTTGAATCTCCTTGTAGTACAACGGACTCTCAAGAGTCTTCTCCAACACCACAGTTCAAAAGAATCAATTCTTCGGGGCACAGCCTTCTTCATAGTCCAACTCTCACATCCATACATGACTACATAAACCATAGTCGTGACTAGACATAGCTTTGTTGGCAAAGTAATGTCTCTGCTTTTTAATATACTGTCTAGGTTGGTCATAACTATTCTTCCCAGGAGTAAGCATCTTTTAATTTCATGGCTGCAGTAACCATCTGCACCGATTTTGGAGCCCCAAAAAATAAATCCTGCCACTGCTTCCACTCTTTTCCCATCTATTTGCCATGAAGTGATGGGACCAGATTCCATGATCGTAGTTTTCTGAAGGCTGGGCTTTAAGCCAAATTTTGACTCTCTTCTTTCACTTTCATCAAGAAGGTCTTTAGTTCTTCTTCGTTTTCTGCCATAAGGGTGGTGTCATCTGTATAGCTGAGGTTATTCTATTTCTCCCATCAATCTGGATTCCAGCTTGTACTTCCTCCAGCCCCGCATTTCTCAGTATGTACTCTGCATATAAGTTCAATAAGCAGGGCGACTATATACAGTTCTGATGTATTCCTTTCCCTATTTGGAACCAGTCTGTTGTTCCATGTGGAGTTCTAACTGTTGCTTCCTGACCTCTATACAGATTTCTCAAGAGGCAGGTCAGGTGATCTGGTATTCCCATCTTTCTAAGAATTTTCCACAGTTTCTTGTGAAGGTTACTGTTGCTTGTGCGTTAACACTTCATTCATTACAGCCAACTGAAACACTAAAAACCATTTACTTCTACTAATAGCCTTGTATGAATTTCACATATAGTTGACATGAAACCTTTAATAATCCATGGTATGACCCATGATTAAATACATATCAAAAGTACAGAGAAAGATATTCATCTTTGTGATTTTTATGGTGTACAAACAAAGCCTAGGAAACAATTAGTAAACATGATACACACTAATTGTCTGCCTTTTCCAGGAAGGGTTTCCAATACATTTCTAGGTTATCACAGAAGCTGTCTTTACTGTAACACTATCAAGCAATTCGTGACTTGTGCTGAAATTATAAAGGTACATCATCAGTATTATAGTGAACTGTGATGGTGTTCCTCTTTCAAATCAATTGATAGACCTATTGAAAATTTATAACCAACCTGTCTTCCTTTAATACTTGAAGACATTCCATGATCACTTACATCATGGCAACCTCCCGATATTTCACATCAATGACAAACACCTCCATTTACACGTTCATTGTCCATTTTACATTATGGTATCCTTCATCTTCTAATGGAGAATAGATAGAAATGGTTGCAACACAATATGAAAAGGCTAATCTTTCAAGCATAAACCATCCAAAACCTATGTTTGCATACACACTATAGAAGCAAAGCATAGTATGGATTATTTGAGCATTGAATTACATTCACTTCTAATAATCTCAAATCACGTCATTATAAAGAAGCGTACATTGCTAATAAATCTAACTGTGTAACCATCAATCCACATTTACAATTCATGCTAATATATTCCTTTTCTGTGAGTTTTAACTGTAGAGTACTCCCTACAGTAATTCTACCTTCAGAGAAACTTCGGAAAAGAGGATTGATGAAATAGTTTTTAATATGCAGTCTCTTATGTTTCTTTACATTTGACTTTTGATTAAATACTTTTTTACATATTTGTTACATCATTTTCACAGGTCTCTTTTATAAACTCCCAAGTTCCCTGATGCATGCTTATGACAAACCTTTCATCACTTCTTCCATTCCTAGTGTTCTCCCCAGGTGTGTGTTCTCAGCTGCTTAGTGAGATGACCACTATGACTAAAGCCTTTGCTACAATCTTCATGCTTTTAAGGTTTCTCTCCAGTGTGAACTCGCAGATGTGTGGTGAGAATTGATTTCTGATTAAAGGCTTTGCCACATTCTGTACATTTATAAGGTTTCTCTCCAGAATGAACTCGCAGATGTTTAGTGAGAATTGATTTCTGATTAAAGGCTTTGCCACATTCTGTACATTGATATGGTTTCTCTCCAGTATGCACTCGCAGATGTGTAGTGGGAATTGATTTCTGATTAAAGCCTTTGCCACATTCTATACACTTATACGGTCTCTCCCCAGTATGAAATCGCTGATGTCTAGTAAGAACACAACTGTTCATGAAGGTCTTCCCACATTCTGTACACTTATAATGCGTCTGCCCCTTATGAATTCGGTGATGTTTACTAAGATTTGAACTCACAATAAAGGCTTTGCCACATTCTGAACATTTAGAACATTTCTCTCCAGTGTGAGTAAACTGATGTTGAGTAAGAAGTGAGTGACGACAAATGTTTTGTCACATTCTGTACATTTGACAGATGTCTTTCCTGCATGAATCTTCCTATGTCTACTTAGATTGGATGAGGTACTAAAGAATTTCCTATGTGTCTTACATTGGTTTTCTTTCTGTGAATTTTGAATAGTTTGCTGTTGTACAAGTTCAGAAGACTGATTAGAAGCTTTAGCATATTCACTACAATTATAAGTCTTCTCTCTGGTGTGAATACTCTTTAGAGAAAGAACTGAAATCTGACAAGATATATTTCTGCATTTATTACTTTCAGAATCCCTGTGTGAAGATTCGGGTCCCTGATGTTTCATAAGGTTTGAGTCTCCTTGAACCTTATACCCAGTTTGATTGCTTGAATACCTTCTCAATCCACCATAAATACCCTTATAATTACTGGGGCTGGAACTCTTACCTAAGGCCTGACTAATTTTATTACACGTGGAAAGCTGTTCCATATTAGCTATATCATGATGAACATTGAACAATGACAGTTGGGCTACATCTCTTCCATTATCATCAACACTATACATCGTGGAATGGCGAGGAAATATCTTTTGCTGGAAGAATAATGACTTCCTGCTCACAGATCCCTCAAATCGAGTATATTGTCAGTTTTTTCCCTGTTTTTTAAATTTCAGGTGTTCAGACATGCTTGAACCTATGTTTAAATGAAGGCCATGTTCAGAATTGTTTGAATGAGTATTTGCAGTAGAGACTAAATCACCTTCCAAATATACCACGTTTCCTTTCAGAGAACATGTATGTTTCTCAAGGTGAGGTGAATCTTTTCTTAAAACCTTACACTTCTCAGCAGATATTAAAGACTGAAATTGGTGTTTTCCAAAATTTGACTCATGTTGCTCATTTCTTTTTGCAATATTTCCCTTATGTGTCACTGTCTCAATTTTTTTATGTCCATATAAACATGTCTGTCTTTCGTATGCCCTCCTATATTCCCAGTGTTTTATTAAATTGAAATTTCTGAGGTGAAATATTTCATATATTCCTAGATTTGCTTTTGGATACAGATCTTTTATCCTTGGTTTCTGTGGCATCAAATCACAGGTGTCTTGAGGAGACACACCTGAAAGATAGCAAATAATAAGTAATTTTACCTGCTATTCCCAGGGAATATCTGTAAAGATTTAGAGAAAACTGATGAACTTTTCATTAGTTCAAAAATGAAGTAGATAAGGGAGGATAAACATGCCAGAGGATTAGGAGGACATGGAATTCTTCTCTCTCCACAAAGCCATCAAGAATACATCAGAAACCCACTCCAGTACTCTTGCCTGGAAAATTCCATGGACTGAGGAGCCTGGTAGACTACAGTCAATGGGGTTGCAAAGAGTCAGACACTACTGAGCAACTTCACTTTCACTTTTTCACTTTACTTTACAATATTGTAGTGGCTTTTGCCATACATTGACATGAATCAGCCATGGGTGTACATGTGGTCCCCATTCTGAACCCCCCTCCCACCTCCCTCTCCATCCCATCCCTCAGGGTTGTCCCAGTGCACCAGCTTTGAGTGCCCTGTTTCATGCATTGAACTTGGACTGGTGATCTATTTCACATATGGTAATGTATTATGTTTCAATGCTATTCTCTCAAATCATCCCACCCTCACCTTCTCCCACAGAGTCCAAAAGTCTGTTCTTTACATCTGTGTCTCTTTTGCTGTCTCACATATAGGATCATCATTACCATCTTTCTAAATTCCATATATATGCATTAATAAACTATATTGGTGTCTTTCTTTCTGACTTACTTCATTCTGTATAATAGACTCCAATTTCATCCACCTCATTAGAACTGATTCAAATGCATTCTTTTTAACAGCTGAGTAATATTCCATTGTGTATGTGTACTACAGCTTTCTTGTCCATTTGTCTGCCAATGGACATCTAGGTTGCTTCCATGTCCTGGCTATTGTAAACAGTGCTGTGATGAACATTGGGGTACACGTGTCTCTTTCAATTCTGGTTTCCTCCTACCTCTATTGATTTTGTTTGATTTTCCCTTTTTCAGCTTGCTAGTGGGTTACATTAATTGATTTTCAAGTGCTGAACCAGTGTTGCATACCTAAGATAAATCCCACTTGGCCATTGTGTAAAATCCTTTCTATATTGGATTTCAATACTCTATTGGATTCAAGTTGTTGCTATTTTGTTGAGGATTTTTGAATTGATGTTCATGAGAGATATTAGCCTGTAGTTTTCTTTTCTTATAATGTCTTTGGTGTTTGTATTAGGGTGTTTTTGGTCTCACAGAATGAGTTAAGAAGTATTCCTTCTGCTTCTATCTTCTAGAAGAGATCATATAGAATTGGTACAATTTCTTCCTTTAATGTTTGGCAGAATTCAACAGTGACCTCTGGGCATAGTACTGTCTGGTTTGGAAGGTTATTAGTTATTAATTCCATTTATTTAATATATATGACTATTCAAATAGAGTATTTGTTCCTGTGTAACTTTTGGCTTTTTTTGCTTTTTTAAGGAAGGTTTGTTCTACTTTATCTTCTAACATCTTAATGAAATTGATTTGTTTTTTAAATTCCAAAAGTATCTTCTTATTTTTTATTCTTTTTCCAAAGAATTCTGCTCTTGTACTATGGATATGATAATTTCTTAATTTTCTAGGTATGTTAGTTTTTGCTTTTACTCTTTTTTTTTTTTTTATGTGGGCTGTGGAGTTTTTGTTTTTTTATTTTGGTGTTGGAGAAGACTCTTGAGAGTTCCTTGGACTGCAAGGAGATCCAACCAGCCCATGCTAAAGGAGATCAGTCCTGGGTGTTCATTGGAAGGACTGATGTTGAAGCTGAAACTCCAATACTTTGGCCACCTGATGNAGTCCATCCTAAAGGAGATCAGTCCTGGGTGTTCATTGGAAGGACTGATGTTGAAGCTGAAACTCCAATACTTTGGCCACCTGATGCGAAGAGCTGACTCATTTGAAAATACCCTGATGCTGGGAAAGATTGAGGGCAGCAGGAGAAGGGGATGGCAGAAGATGAGATGGTTGGATAGCATCACTGACTCAATGGACATGACTTTAGGTAGACTCCAGCAGTTGGTGATGGATAGGGAGGCCTGGCATGCTGTGGTTCATGGAGTCACAAGAGTTAGACATGACTGAGCAACTGAACTGAGTGAACTGAATCACTTGGAAAGTTTCCCAAATATGAAAAGAAGCAGAAAGAGGGAGAGATAGGGGGAAAAGAGTGAGAATGAGAATTCAGTAGAATGGTAGAATACAAAGTTTATTTATAGGAATCAGTCAATATCGTCAGTATCTACAAACAATCCATTAGAAGATTTAATGGAACAGAACATTTTTGCAATGGTAACAAAAAAGGAAAAAATGTGTTTAGCAAAAACTGTGCAAAACGTATGAGGAAAATACTACTGAGAGACAAGATACCTGAAGAAATGAAAAGACATACTCTATTCATGGATAGGGAAGATTCACATTGTAAAGCTATGGATTTTATGTAAGTTAATTTATAAACTTAATGCAACCCCCCCCCCCAAAAAAAAGAATACATCAGAAACGGAACTCTTCTCACAGAGCCCAACAGGACACTAGCAGAGGCCCTTGGAAATCTACAAGGACAGAAGCCTTCCTGCTGAGCCAGGTAGACCAAGAGAAAGAAGAAGGAAAAGGAAGAGAAGAGGCAGTGGAATGGGGCCTGCACCCTGGGGGGACATGAAAGTGAGGAGCGGTCTCCACATCTGGGGAAGGCCCTCGTCGGGGAGCTCAGTTTGGACAGAAGGAGAGCCTCATTCTCTGTGGGAGAGAACATGGCAACCCGTGTGTGGCAGCAGGACAGGGTGAGACCTGCACACAGGGTCATGACCCCTGCCCTGCCCACCCAGCCTGAGAGGCACGCCCACCACTGCAGACAAGGGCTGGGTGCTGAAATGTGGGGTTCAGAGCGCAGACCCAGGCAGAGGACTGCAATTGGCAGTGAGGAGACATCCTGAGGGGACGGGAGTGAGGGAGGGGCTCTATAAACAGGATGCTTGTGGAAGAAACCTGAACCACCATATAGTAGAGGACAAACCACTGGACCAATCTCATGCACCAAGGTGAAGGCACCAGAAGGATGACTAACGAGGTGCCCATAGCCTTCAAAACAGAGACTACAAGCAGAAAACTGGACAAAATGAGGTGGCAAAGAAATGTGTGACAGAGGGAGAAGCATGCTAAGAACCTACAGGAACCACTAAATGAAGAGGAGATAGGTAATCAAAGGATTACTTCTTGCTTTTAGTCATATGAAGTGGAGACATCAAACATTTTCACAAATCCTAGCTGCCTGATAACTGTTTCGTCCACTTCTTGTCAAACATGTTTCCAAGAATGTTCTATTAGATGCTTCAATCTAAAAATAATAAATGATATTGACAGAGAACTATTCATAAAGTGAAGGACACTTTATGGAATAAAGGACACTTTGTTATAGGAAAATATCTGAAGAAGTTCATTACACATAAGGTAAACTTAATAATTTCTTGAGAAATTAAATGAGAGACTTTGAAAATATGCTTGAAACACTGGGAATTCTACTCATTGCTCTGTGGAGACCTAAATGGGAAATCAATGGAATGGGAAGGACTAGAGATCGCTTCAAGAAAATTAAAGATATCAGAGTAAGATTTCATGCAGAGATGGGCACAATAAAGGACAGAAATGGTATGGGCCTTACAAAAGCAGACCTTAACAAAAGGTGTCAGGACTATGTGGAAGACCGATACAAAATATCTTAATGACCATGATAACCAGGGTGGTGTGATCACTCACCTAGACACAGACATCCTGGAATCTGAAATCAAGTGTGTCTAAAGAAGCATCACTACCAGCAGAGCTAGTGGACGTGATGGAATTCCAGTTAAGCTATTTAAATCATAAAGATGATGCTGTGAAAGTGCTGCACTCAATATGCCAACAAATTTGGAAACCTCAGTAGTGGCCACAGGACTGGGAAACATTAGTTTTCATTCTAATCTCAAAGAAAGGCAATGTCAAAAAATGTTAAAAAAGACTGAACAATTGCATTGATGTCACACACTATCAAAGGCAGGCTCAAATTCTCCAAGTAACGCTTCAACAGAATGTGTACTCAGAAATTCTAGATCATCAAGATGGATTTAGAGAAAGCAGAGGAACCAGTGATGAAATTGCCAACACCCCTTGGATCACAGAAAAAGCAAGAGAGTTCCAGAAAAACAGCTGCTTTGGCTTTATTAACTATTCTTTCCTCTTGATGTACAGTAGTACAAAATTATAAAACATCTGTATTCCATTTAGAAGTTTTGTAAAAGATTTCTTTATATAATTTAGAAATTCTTATAGTTGGAATCAACCATTAATAATATGGGTGGAAAATGTGCTAAGCTTTTATGCCAATTTATTTTAAAATTTGATGAGATAGAGTACATTAACATACCTAGTATTTTAGAATGGGGCCAAATGCACTTCAGATATTTAATATGAAATCATATAAGGAAAAGAGAAACTTTGAAGTAAACCTGAGATGTGCATTCTTTAATGTTCAGCAGGTTTTGCTTTCTGCAGTGAAAAAATTACTTGAATTTGAAATTGATTTAGTAGGTCCTATCTCTAGCTCCCAGTGGATAGGAAGTTATAAATCAGAAAACAAAGGCCTGTCCCTAGTATTTCTGGGAGTTTAGCAGTTTGTCTACGACTCACACATTTTTGTCCAGAGGTAGAAACTTTAAAAGGACCGTCCTACAGTTACTCATAAATGGCACAGTTTTCCTAGGATCCCCAAGAAATGGAAGAGCAACCAAGGAATGCAGTTTGTGCCAAGCCAAGAGGAGACGTTTAATTCACACTGTGATGGGAAAATCACTGGAGATCAATTCATGAATGATTTCAGAGACAGAATGGGGCAGGTGTTCCATTTCTTTGACAGTAACAGAAATAAGCCCAGGTTTTCCAAAATCATTTCCACTGAGGCACATCTTCCAAAACCACCTGACAAAGGATGACTTCCTCAGTGCTCCTTGGACCTCTCATCTGAGTCCACTCACACCTACCTGGGTATATGGCTGTTGTCTCTATTCTCCTTATAGTCCTGGGATTGTTCAGTTGCTCCAGAAAGGTGACCAGATTCAGCCCAGTGACTACAAGTCCTGTTCACCAGAGAAAGGAATATTTGTGTTTTTAGAGACTCATCTGTGTCCAGTCCTATATGTATTCAGGTGAGACGAGAATGCATGGGAGAATGTTAATACAGCCTAGAAAATGATTTCCCCAAATACTTTATCCAAAGCACCTTTACAACACTAACAAATACATAACAATCAAATCCTGAGATTTTAGTCACATGCTGCTAAGGAAAAGTAAGTGTGTAAATGCGAAATTAACATAGGGTGCAACTATTTAATACCACAGAACGTATAGAATTACCACTCACCTAGAATGAAACAGGCAGAGTACATCAGGGAAGAAAAAGCTTACCAGCATAGCAAACCATCATGAAGCCTTTCTTTCTATACTCACAGACACTCATTTCCCCCTAGAAGGCAGAGATCTGAAACCACTGTGGGAAGCAGACAATTTCAGAAGACATTCTAGAAATGAAGGAACCAAAACCTCGTGGGTAGGTAAGTGATTCTGGAAGGAAGTTGTCCTCACCCAAACAGGCCAGGTTCCTGTAGTTCTCTAGGATCACGTCCCTGTACAAGTCCCGCTGACTGAGGTCCTGGCATTCACACTCCTCTTGAGTGAAGTCTATGGCCACATTCTGGAAGGTCAGCCGTCCCTGAAATACAAAGTACAGATGCTGTGGGGCCATGGGAAGACTTCCTTATGTGACCCAACATGGAAACAGCAAGCTCAGAGACCTGGTTTCCCTTTAGGAGAGTGTCTGCTATTACACAAGAATACAATTTTTACACAGTAGTATCTTCACCATATTTTCAGCCCCAGGAAAAGAGGATGACATATGACCCATAAACTACTACAGAAAATATTATGACTAGGAAGAAGAATTATAAAATAATCAAGAATTATAAAAATAAATATTGGCATACTTATTTTTGACTGTTGTACTCACGTGACACAGGATAAATTGTCTATCAAAAAAAACAAAAACAAAAAAAACCTGGAAATACTTTTTAAAAACACATTCCAATCCAAACATTCTATAGTGGGACCAATGTGCCACATTTTTAGTAAGCTTATTTTAACTACTAATGCTGGAAATTCTGTTCCATGAATAACCATTTTGAAGAGCTCTTAGGTAGAATAGTATGGAAAGAATTCATACTTAACTGTGAACTTTAAGTGTTCTACAGATTTTACAGGTCTCATAGTAGTAACCTTGGTGGCAAGAATCATTTTAACTATTTAGCATCTACTATATATGCAGGTCAGGAAGCAACAGTTAGAACTGGACATGGAGACAAGGGTGCCCACTCTCACCACTACTATTCAACATAGTTTTGGAAGTTTTGGCCACAGCAATCAGGGCAGAA